AGAGAGAGAGAGAGAGAGAGAGAGAGAGAGAGAGAGAGAGAGAGAGAGAGAGAGAGAGCGAGAGAGAGAGAAAGAGAGAGAGAGAGAGAGCTTCCAATTGCTCACTCTCGCGGGTGTCGTCGCTATCGATTTGCGCGAACGGGTAACGTCTCGATCGTCGCCGTAACGAACGACTTTGCGTGGCTGCAATCTCCAGAAGGTTTCACTTCATATTGTTTCTTCCGTTTTGTTAATATTAGAATGGGTATTAGAGCTCTTGATGATTTGTTTCGAAAATGTTACAGCAACATGCATAGAGAAAGTATTGTAAAATCTATGTTAAAATCACACGGAGAAAAGTATATGTCAAGTATTCTGATAGCAAAAGCGATTACACAGTTTACTTCCCTTCTTTTAAGCGATGGTTACCTTCAGCAAAGAATATTTCTTTTGATAATAGGCTTCAAGTATGCTTATCACAAATTTTAGAGAAGCTCATTATTTTCTAGTAAAGAGTGAAATGTGCATAACATTTTTAAACAAGTATATAATAATTTCGGTTATAGTTCTGTATGGCTCAAAGTCACAAGAAATTTTGTTGTAATTTTTACTACAAATATTTTTTCCGTGTGGGACTTTCGCGATAAGTAAATTGAAGAACGAGAGCCAAGTGTGGGGAGGGATGAAGAGCTGTAAGAAACATAAGTGAGAAACTCTCTGATAATTACTCACCCGAAAACGCCCACGGCGACGGCGGCTTCGCGTAACGCCCGTTCTTGGTCCATTTCGACGAGTGCTTCTGGTCTAATGGTGGCAGTGTTTCTCGGCTGGCGTTCATTCTGGACAGCTGCAATGTTGCGATTTTTGAAGATGTTTATTAACCCTTTGCGGTAAGAATTATCTTCGATGTTTCGTTCCAGCCGATCTGTAAAAATTCAGTTGCTTCGCGACAGTATCGCGTAGCTTGCGTTTGCTTCAATATTTCAGCATTGAATTAATGCAATGACATATTGATAGTAATATATTCATATTGAGTATACAGTATTAATGTATGCAGGTATGGCTCATAGGATTGGCTGGAACGAAACGCTTTGTCGAGATGGACTCGATAAAGAGTTAAGAGGATGTCATACTTGAAGACTTTATCGACAGATACTTTTTTCCATAGTTTATGTCGTATTCGTTGCACAGAATTACAAATGCTTTTGTACGACGCAAGTACGTACAAAAATGAATTGGAGTATTGCTCAATATGCAACAAAAACGATGAAACATTTTAAAATTGACGTCGCAAACTGTCAGTTAGTGCAAATATTTGTTAGATATAAAAGTTTTAGAGCTCGCATAAAGCGAATGTATGTTTCGCCCAGGAGAATTTCAAAGAACATCCTCACACGACACAACGTCTAAAATCGAGACATAAAACGTCTAAAAGACGTCTTAGAGACGTCTTATATTCCAACGTCTGATCCTTTGTCGACAACCTTGCTTTAATCTTTAAGCCGTAATAAATTGACCAATTACAGTCTATTATTTTAAAAATAATCAACTGTGGTTGGTCAATTTCTTACGGCTTAAGAATTAAAGCAAGGTTGTGGACAAGGGGTGAGAAACGTTTTAGACGTCTTATATCCCGATTTTCGACGTTGGGTTGTGTGAGTTGCTATAATTTTACAACAAAATTTGGATTAAGAATATACGGAAAGTGCAGAAATATTTCTATTATGCACAGTTACTCAACAAACGTCAACTAACGGTAATATTACGTTAATGTTACAATTTCTCACTCAACAATGTGACCGTTATTGTACGTAGCGCACGTTATATTGCATTTACATTATAAGTGAGAAATTGTAACATTGACGTAATATTACTGTTAGTTGGCGTTTGCTGAGTATGTATTCTATTAAATATGGCGTAAAACAAAGCGGTTCACATCACATTTATATAAGATCTATATGTACCAGAAACACGGAAAGGGCAGCGTGATCGCGTCAGTGCTTATCTGACATGACATTTCGACGGCCGCCTCTACGTTATCGACATTTTTGGAGTTCACATTAGCATTCTCTTACGATACTTGGCTATGTACGTAAGATATTAGAAAAAAATGCGATTTCAAATACTGTTTCTTAATCTCTAGCTGCTCTTCTGCACAAAATGAACACGAATGCAAACAAATACATCTAAAATATGGTTTTACGACGATGATTGTAAAATTTTGAAGAGATCGAAGCTAGATGTCCCATATTTCAGAATTTCGAAGTTACAGCTTCTCAGACAATTAACTGTTGTGACTGACAGCACGCAACTTCCGTTAGTACGTCGTTTCTCGCTTCTGACGTCACAAATTCAATATGGCTGCGGCGAGGTACAACGAGCCTTAATAAAATTCAGAGAGAAGTATCTAAAAGGGCCATTTCGCGATTTTGTATTTATTGCTCTCTCCTTACTTGCTAAAAAAATACATGAACAACATACCCCTGGGGGTCATCTAAACCTGATATCCTTTACACATCAGATTAATATTTTTCTATAAATTAGTAATTCGTATGGTCGAGCGATACGTTTCAATACGTTTCGACCTTTGATGCTCGCGATCGTGCGTCATCAAAATTTTTCGAGGTAGGTTGTGATAGGTTTGTGATGTTTTTAACGCCGATTCGCGCGGCGATTGAATGTTTTCACAGGTGTGACGATCGTAAACTTCCTCTTGCGTTCTTTAGTCGATGAATCATCGGGTCGTCGCCACTTATCGCAATCTTCAGTGACGATAAGTCATTATACGTGCATATGTCGCTCGTCACGATTGTCTACAAATAGCGTAATCGCGACATTTATATATATTCGCGCGACTTACTCTCACAGGTGACGTTTTCAAATCCTCTTTCGCGTTTCTCACGTGAAAAATTACGGAGATACGTTTCGCTTCTATGTAGTTCACGCAGTTTTCCGAAAGACACCCCTTGTATGTGCGTAATAATATTTAATAATATAGTAAATAATATAATACTGCTAGAGAGCAAACCTGACGATTTTATAAGCAGCACGCTTGATTATTAAGCAATTGAGTATCTTTTCGTCCATTTTCTGTTCTATTCTCGTTCAGTAAGTAGATTCAGATTTTGCGCATCTTTTCCGCCCAGTAATTGCAGGAAGAGCATTATATTTCGATTGGAATCTTGAATGGTTTTACTCTTTAATTACTAGACAAAAGTTAATATAACTGGTCGAAAATAGCATTAAATTTCTACCAGGGAATCCATCGCTACCTCATTCGCGGCGTAAAGGCGAGAGCCATGTCCTCTCTATCAAATGTATCGCGCGGCGCGAAGTAAATAAAGGAAACGCGTCGATATTGGTGAGGCTCGTACCTCGCTAAAAACCGAATGCTTTTCCCGACTGATCGGTAGCGAGAAAAATCAAAGCGCGGCAAAGCTCCTACGATGCATATTCATCGCGTCGCTCGATCTCCCTTTTTTTCATTCCGTTTTTTTTTTTTTTTTCGGAAAAACGGCCGGATTTCGCACGAACGAGAGGATGTATGTACGTGTATATGTATTGAAAACGGTCGGCCGACCGACATTGGTACGGCCGCAGAACAATAGAGAGGGGGACATCGTGCCAGCTCGTCGGCGCCGTCGAATTCGCGGATGATTGAAATATTATTGAAATATTAGTCGGCCCGGAGGATTCGCTGGGGAAGCGGGAGCGGTTGTCTGCCGCCCTCTCGTCAAACTCACGTAACGCCACGTTATGTCACGCCGGCGGTCTGCGTCTGACACGCGTGGATTTAACGGGCACGTAGGAGCTTATTGTTTGCGGTACGCGACGTAGCGCACGACCACCCGAGGGTTTCATTTACTACCGTCGGTGTGGCAGGAGCTCGTGGAGAAAAGGCTCTCCCGACGATGACGATGACGACGCTACGTTTCTATTGAGTAATCGCGACTGTGTTTGGGGTTTCTCTCGCGAGAAGATTTAGAATATTCTGAAAATCAATATAAGTATAGGTTCTTGAGATCAGCAAATTATAAAAAATAAGAGGCTATAAGGCATTTTATTAGCCCCTTGTTTTTTATACTTTATTCTGGATATTTTAAAGTGGGAAATGTAGAAGGATATTAGTTAAAAAATAATATTTAATTTGCTTTTAGAAATTATTTAGAGTTTATAAATATGTTTCTCTTAAATTATTAAAATTTAATTTCGATTTAAATTATTCATTACGTGTTTCTTTCGCCATATTCTTGATGCGTATTCGAACACTAACAAGAAAGGTGTCCCTTGGCAATTTTAATGAAACTTGGCTTTGTAAAGAGGATCAAGATATTTTATATGTATTTTTTTATCGGCAACTAAACATGTTTAGGGAGTAAAATCAGCTCTCGAAAATCGGCAAAATTTTTGTTCTTTGGCTATAACTTTTGAACAAAGCGTAATTTCGTAAATGTACGGATGTATAGAATTTCGAAAGCTATTCACTGGTATATTTGTTCCGTAGTTATAACCGAAAACCAAAAATTTTGTCGATTTCCGAGGGCTGATTTCATTCTTAAACATTTGGTTGTCAATAAGAAAAAATACGTGTCGAATATTTGGACTCTTTTTACAAAACCTATCAAGTTTTATTAAAATTGGAAAGAGGCACGTGGAATATCTTCTCTGCAATAGTACTTAATCTTTTTGATTCTCAAGTTAAACAATCTTATACGAGACGCTCTGTATAAGAAAAATGGAATTTGATATAAAAAAGGCGTATTTAGAGCTCGAAATGCGTCAAGAATACGGTCTCTGGGCATGTCAATGAGATGCGAATCGGTTGTGAGATAATTCGTTTACGCGTGTGCGCGGTGTAATACTGAGCATTTTTTAGAAATTCACCGCAATTTCTTTTGATTGCGAATGTTTTCAATTCGGGTCACGTAATTGCGTTTTGCAATTAAACCGTCTGACATTGGGAATTTTAAGGGATTCGTCAAATTTTTATTTTGACGATGTTAAATCTAAATCATGAAAAATACGGACGAATACTTTTAGATCCTCTACAGTTTCCAGTTCTCGTTCGGGACATGTTTCGTGGGAATTTTTCGAATTTTGTATGTTACATTTCGGACGTTTCGTGCGAACACAAGGCTATCTGTTTCTGATAAAAAAGATATTTAAAGTAATTAAAGTCTATGAAAAAGGCAAGCTCCGGACTTGTGAGGTACACAAATATACAGAATGACAAAACTTCGCTAAATATTAGCTGTGTCTATAAATTAGTATTATTTAAAAAATTTTTACTTTAAATTTACAGTAATGTAGGTGTGAAATATGTGTCAGCTGTGTCTATAATAAGTGTTCGCTCTTGTACGAGGCATTTTATTTCTTTGCAACTAGGTTCAAAGAAATTCGATTTCTAATATAGTTCTCTTGACGAGATTGCATCGTTATTGCTTTATTCGCCGATCGAAATCGAAATTTGTACGTGTAATAGAAGAGTTTTCCATATTCTTCCTTTTTTCAGACAAGCGTACTTTAACCCTTCGCGTACAATCATATTTTTGCAACATACAGTACAATTTCAATCTGTCAGACTCGCATAACTTTTTACACAACCATAACTTTATTGAAAATCAAAATTTGAAATTAATGTACTCAAAATCATATGCTTTGAGTGGCATTGTATTGAATGAAATGTGGCATTAAATCAAAATTTCAAATTAACGTTTTATTAAAGTGATTTCTAATCAGATAGTGAAATAAATACATAAAAATGTAATTTTGTTCGATAAGTGAATTTATGAGTGGCTCTCTTAATATGCCATTGGAAATACGCCTCTTGAGTGCTTTGAAAATACACATGTAGGTTGCATTCTAGAACATCCTTTTTTGAGAAAATTTTACTCGATATTCTATAGTATATGTAACGTGAATTTC